AGGAATGTTTTTTTTTCGAGACAGTTTTGCTCTTGTCACCAAGGCTGGAGTGCAATGGCGCAATATTAGCTCACTGTGACCTTCCCCTCCCAGGTTCAAGCAATTCTCCTGCCTCAGCCTCCTGAATAGCTGGAATTACAGGTGTCCACCACCACGTCAGCTAATTTTTGTATTTTTAGTAGAGACAGTTTTTAGTACGTTGGCTAGGCTGGTTTCAAACTCCTGACTTCAGGTAATCCACCTGCCTTGGCCTCCCAAAGTGCTGGGATTGCAGGTGTGAGACACTACACCCGACCTGCACCCAGCCTTTATTTCCATTTTGATTTATGTTCTTAGAGGGGTGGGGGAATGCCCTACAGGCAGTAAAGTTAAGGCTTTTCTGTTTAGTGGTTTCATATGTGACTTAGTTATTTCTTTGATAGGGAAGTGAATATTTACTAAAGAGACGGAAGGGGGATGTATAGATTATTGGAGAGAAACCAGTGTTCTGTGTCCTGAGTCAGTTGGCTTACTTAGAGACAGGAAGCTTTAATGTAACTTAAGCATGGCTGTGATGGTTTCTGATGGGCTGTAGGTCTCCCTTCTCTCACTGGCTTTTGTTACTGGTTCATCCAAAGGTTTCCAAAATGCCAGCATTCCTTCGCTCTGCCCTTCAGATTTTGTTTTCTGAGGATTCTACAAAGCTCTTTGTAGCATCAAATCAAGGAGCTCTGCATATCGTTCAGCTGTCAGGAGGAAGCTTCAAGCACCTGCATGCTTTCCAGCCTCAGTCAGGTGGGAATCTGGTAACTGGCCATGGGGAGACTTGTCGTGTCTAAGATGTAACTTTTTTCCTTTTAAGCCTCCATGTCGGGAGTTCCCTCGTGTTCCTCCTACCCTGCAGATCCACTCACTCACATGTTTGCAGTTTCAAGTAGGAGGAGATAGCTGGCAGATGAAGACTCTCGATGAGATCTGCAATGTTCTTCACACCTACTCTTTTCTCACTGAGTTTTTGATTCCTTATTTGGGGCCAGAGAAGTTTCATCATCCTTCTTAGTTTGTTAGCAGAGCAAGAAGAAAGTTAAAATCATTTTAATCCTGACAATAGCTTCCATTAATATTTTGATGTTTTCATGTATTTGTATATAAGTATTTTGGGGCATATTGCCTTTTTTGGTGGTTTATAAAAAGGTACAATCATAGATCACTGCCACCTCGACCTCCTGGGCTTAAGTGATCCTCCCATCTGAGCATCCTGTGTAGCTGGGACTATAGATGCACACCACTGTGCCCACCTAATTAAAAAAAATTTTTTTTTGTTGATATAGGGGCTCATTATGTTGCCTAGGTTGGTTTTGAACTCGTGGGCTCAAGTGATCCTCCCATCCTGGCCTCCTAGCTGAGATGATAGGCATGAGGCATTGTGCCTGGCCCAAAAGTATCCTTCTACATACAGTTTAATTACCTGCATTTAATGTTCCTGACCATTTTTCTATTTTCCTTGAGAATATGAGTATTATTAACATGAGTGTGCCTATATAGCTAGCTATGGCTAACTGTTAAGGACTTAGACTCAGCTTCCAGCTTAAGCTGCTAGTTGTTTGGATACTTCCCATAGGCCTTTTTCCTCTCCCTTGTCTTGGATTTTAGCTGCTTCACTGCCATTTCACTCTATCACCCTGTCTTTTTTGAGACAGGGTCTTGCTCTTTGGCCAAGGCAGAAGCGCAGTGGTGTAATTATGGCTCACTGCAGCCTCAGCCTCCCCAGGCTCAGGTGATCCTTCCACCTCAGCCTCCCAAGTACGCAGGAGTGTGCCACCACACCCAGCTAAGTTTTGTATTTCTGTAGAGCTGGGGTTTCACCATGTTGCCCAGCCTGGTCTTGAACTCCTGGGCTCAAGCAATCCTCCTGCCACAGCCTCCCAAAGTGCTGGGATTACAGGTGTGAGCCACCATGCCTAGTGAAAGTCAACTCTTTTAACCTCAAGTCTCACTGTTCATAAGCTGATCCGAAGTCTACAGAAGAAACCCACAAGTTAGGGGTCAGATAAATCAAACTATTTATTATCTATATATGTTTTTATTACAAAACGTAGACTATTTATCTTGCATCTAGCACTCCCTGAGATTCAGCTCTGCATTATGTATATGACTATTTTTCGCTTCTGTCATCTCACTTCCCCTTGTAGTCAAGCTGGTTTCTTCACAGCCCTCAAACCTGCATATTCTAGTCCTCATCACTTAGCTTGCACCGTTCCCCATCCTTTTCTCCCCATCCCCACCCATCCTTTGGCAGCTGGGTTATGCTTGTTATAAAGCCATTTTATCGTTTGGGGGCGTTACATGCAGCACGCATTTTGGCATTGAGCATCACTGTCCAATTTTTATCCCACACTAGTCGTCATGTTGCCAGATTGGTTTAAAGTCTCTAGATGACAAAGATGGCTCAGACATGCCCATCCTCCCTTAATGCAAAATATACAGCAGGCACCCAATAAATTAGATAGGCGTTAAGTCTATTGAACTTGATGTTTGTAACTTTGTTGTTGTTGTGTTTTTGGGGTTTTTTTTGGGGGATGGGGTTGTTTGAGACAGAGTCTCACTCTGTCATGCAGGCTGGAGTGCAGTGGTGCGATCTCAGTTCATTGCAACCTCTGCCTCTCAGGCTCAAGTGATTCTTCTGCCTCAGCCTCCCTAGTAGCTGGAACTATAGGGACGTGCCACCACGCCCGGCTAATTTTTTGTATTTTTAGTCAAGACATGTTTCACTGTGTTACCCATGATGGTCTCAATCTCCTGACCTTGTGATCCACCCGCCTTGGCCTCCCAGAGTGCTGGGATTACAGGCATGAGCCACTGCGCCTGGCCTAATGATGGTATATTTTGTAGAGATGAGGTTTCACCATGTTGGTCTCAAACTCCTGAACTCAGGTGATCCACCTCCACCTCCCAAAGTGCTGGGATTACAGGTGTGAGCCACCATGCCCAAGCCTGTCCATAACTTTGATTTAAAAAAAAATTTTGGTAGGAAAGGAGTTTGAAACAATTAGTATATATTTTAGTGGTAGATGCTACCATGGTTCTCTATTCCCATAGTAAGCAGTGCCTTAGGCCTGAGCAAGTAATAACTTCTGTTTTATCTCTCTGGATCTTTACATGCAGGATGGCTAAATAATTAGATGGAAAAAGTAGACACATTAACATCTAGAACTAATTTGCACAGTGATCAAAAAATTATCCTGGCAGTGATTTAAAACTCTGAGAGTCTCCTTGGCTTTTGCCATCATATCCAGGGCTGGCTGTGGACACTATGAATTCAGAGATCTAACTCTTCTGTTTTCACAGGGACAGTGGAGGCCATGTGTCTTTTGGCAGTCAGTCCAGATGGGAATTGGCTAGCCGCATCAGGTACCAGTGCTGGAGTCCATGTCTACAATGTAAAACAGCTAAAGGTGAGGATAGGGTTTCATGGCAGCAGTTTGAATCATTGTACAGGAGGCAGTTTACCCTGCAGTTAAAAGATTCAAGGCAGATTGGCATGACCTGGAAATTTATTAGACTTTTTTCTTTTTAACGAAGAGTTTTTTCCAGGTTTGGAATCCTGTTTTATTTTTATGGAACCCAGAAGCCATCCTCTGTAACATTAAAATCAGCTACTGGCCCAGTGAAACCATTCATACATGGAAATTTGAAATTAATCATTTGTGGGTGATGTAAACACATCCAGTTTCTTTCTATGTTTTGGGGAGGAAAATGCTGTGTACACAGACAAACAGTTGCAGATAATAGAGTTCTTTTCATGGCTTGCCTTGTAATGTCAAGGTAAACACTATCAAAACTTCAAAAAAGGGAAAACATTTTTCACTGATCATTAAAGAGTGTGTGTAGCATGCACATGCTTTGCAATTGTACATAAAAATCCATGCCTAGATGTTAATTTCTTTAAAACCTAGCATACAGCTGTAGACTCCCTGTTCGATGACATACTTATAAGCAATTTGTATAGAAGGATTTACTCTGAGGGAAAGGCTTTTTACTCTCAGTTCTCCACAAATGCTGTTCATTTTGTAAGTGGTTAACTATGCTTTTTATTTTTTTGAGATGGGGTTTCACTCTGTCGCCCAGACTGAGCACAGTGGTACAATCACAGCTCACTGCAGCCTTGACCTCTGGGCTTAAGCAGTCCTCCAACCTCCGCCTCCTGAGTAGCTGGGACTACAGGCGAGCCCCACCACACCTAGCTAATCTTTTTTTTTTTTTTTTTTTTTTTAGAGATGAAGTCTTCCTATGTTTTTTTGGTTGGTCTTGAACCCCTGGGCTTAAGCGATTCTCCCACCTTGGCCTCCCATAGTGCTAGAGTTACAGACATGAGCCACCATGTCTAGCCCTCACTGAGTTGTGGTAAGTATGAAAAGTGCTTAGAATGTTACCCAGCACCGTAGTAAGTGCTCTAAAAAGGTGAACCATTGAAAGAAACCCTGGGTGTTTCTTGTTCAGAAAATTTGCATTTATGAGCAGGGCTGCCAATATTTCCAAGAATACTGGGAAACTCCACTTCACATGATAGGTTGGATCACGATTCCCAGTGTTTGAAGGGAAAGGCCCACCACAATAATAGTTAAGAATTACGAGGAGAGGAGAGGCTGCTCTTTAACCGGGCCTGTGAATAGGGCTGTTTTCTATTTGAACCCACAGCCAGCAATCCATCCCGACAGAAGGCAGAGCCGCTCAGTGTCGTCCTTGCTTTGTGATCAAACGCTTTCAAAGCATTCTCTTCCAAATGGCTGCCTTTTTAACAGTTAGAAACCTACAGGTCGCTGCCTTTTCTCTTCCTGATCTCCCACTTTTGTTGACTATGAGGCATTTTTACCCCTTGGTGAAACCCTCTGAGGAAGGCTGTATTGTTTTTACTTTTCTGGTGTCCTGAAGCAGAGGAGAGTAGATTTCACCAAAGCCAGATTGCATAGAGGGGAAGCCGTCAGGATTGAGTACAAACCCTTCAGCAGCACAAAAATAGCATTTCTTATTTCTCAGCTGGCTCTGTCACTTACCAGCCCTGTGATCGGGTTCTCACTTTTCACATCTCTAAAACAAAGGGGCGTTCCTAGAAGACCTCTAAGGTCCCTGTAAATTCTCTGCTTTCCTTTGAGGCCCTGAAATGGGTGTTTGCACCCCCTAGGGAAGGAGGGAGGCTGTGGAATCACACAAAGTCACAGGCTAAACATGGCTCATCTTTCTAGAAAGGCAACATTATTTTTTTATAGTAAAACAAAACTGGGGGTTATTATGGAATGCAATTCAAAGTTCCCAAGGTTTTTAAAGAAAAAAGTGAGATTTAAAAAAATGTTCATTTTGGAAAAAATAGTGGTGATGATGGCACAACACTGTGATTAACATTAATGTCACTGAATTGTAAAATTACACGTGGCTAACATGGCAAATTTTATGTTATATATATGTATTTTACAATTAAAAAAATGAAAAAGCCATGTTCAGGTAGACTAGAGAGTCTAGAAATAAACTCACACATACTTGGTCAACTGATTTTCAACACAGGTAAAAAGGTAATTCAGTGGAAAAAGGATAATCCCCTTAAAAATTGTGCTGGGACAATTAAATATTCATCTTTTTTTGCATATTATTTAATCAACTTTGATCCACACCCTGCACCATATATAAGGATTAATTCAAAGTAGATACTAAGGCTAAATGTAAAACCTAAAGCTATACAATTTCTAGAAGAAAACCTAGCAGGAAATCATTGCGACTTTCAGTTAGGCAAAGATTTTCCAAATAAGATGCCAAAAGCACAATTCATAGAAGAAAAAATTGATAAGCTAGATGTCATCGAAATTAGGAACTTCTCTTCAAAAGATACAATTAAGAGAAGAAAAAGACGAGGCTGAAAGTAAATATTTGCAGATCACATGTCTGATATAGGAATATATAAAGAATCTAAAAACTAGAAAGCAAGCAACCAAGTTAACAAATGGGCAAAATACGTAAACAGACTTCACAAAAAAAGGCATACAGGTGGCAGGACGGGCGCGGATTAAATGGACTTACAGCAAAATTAAATTGACTTACAGCAAACGTCTATGCCTAGGTGTTAGAAATGCTGATTGGTCAGGCTTGGATATGTGCCCACCCATGGATCAGCTGCAAGTAAGGAATAAATGTCTCTCCAAGGAAAAGCAGATATCTACTACATCTTTTATATTAACCCCTTAAAAACACTAATAATTAGCTTAATGTGGTGCTAGTTTTATTTCCTGAAGACTTGATTTTTGGAAAGTAGTCGCATTTGTATTAAAGATACTTAGAATTGTGGACTCACATGATTAGAAAGAGCATTTAAGGTTTGACTACTCAGTTTAACAAGTTTTCTGTCTCCTAATATATTGAAGCTGTGGTTAAAAGCTACTTGTAGGCCAGGTACGGTGGCTCATGCCTGTAATCCCAGCACTTTGGGAGGCCGAGGTGGGTGGATCACCTGAGGTCAGGAGTTCAAGACCAGCCTGACCAACATGGTGAAACCCTGTCTCTACTAAAAAAATTCAAAATTAGTTGGGCGTGATGGTGGGTGCCTGTAATCCCTGCTACTCAGCAGAATCACTTGAACCTGGGAGGCATAGGTTGCAGTGAGCTGAGATCGTGCCATTGCACTCCAGCCTAGGCAACAAGAGTGAAACTCAGTCTCAAAAGAAAAGAGCTACTTGTATTTCATGGCATATGATCATTCAGTCTAGGGAAAGGCACCACGAAGTAAAAACAAAAGCTACTTCTGCTGTATTAAGCATTTTCTCTAGCTAGTACTTACTTTTTTCAGCAGTCTATGAGAATATTACAGATGAGGGAACTGAGGCTCCAAAAGGCTGAGTAACTGGCCCAAGGTCAAGCTTGTGAGTGGTGAGAAGGGTTAGAACCCAGGCTCATCTGATGCTAAAGCTTGTTCTCTCAGCTGCTGTCATCCTCCGCAGACTCCTCTCTCCAGCATCATCAGTCACCTCGAGTCACAGCTGTGGGGCGCCTGGCACATGGCACTGAGAGGGCTGGGCCTTTCCAGCCTCACCTGCCCTGGGCACCGTTATCCAGCGCCCACCCAGGGGCTGGAAGGGGTGAAATGAGGTGAACCTATGCTTTCAATGTCCTCTTCTGCTTAACGCTAAAGGGAGGTTTCTTTGTAGCCGATTTAATACATAAGGTTTCTTTCAGTTTCCTAACGTCAGGCTAACACAAGGATGTTCCTTTTTCAGTACTTTTCAATGTGCCTTTGAAGAACACTGTAAAACCAGCAGGTTGATGTGGACTAAAGAGCCCTGGCCTAATTAGAAAGAAATCTGAATTCCTGTATTTCTGGCTTTTCCAGCAACTCCCTGTGTGACTTTTGAAAATCCACTTAACCTCTCTGAGCCTCAGTTGCCGAAACTGAAGTTGGATGAGATCAATGTTTCCTGACAGTGATTGACATACCATGGTGGTACCTAAAATCCACCTTTTGAAATTTCAGTAGTTATGTATCTATCAATTTNAAAAAAAAAAAAAAAAAAACCTCGGCTGCAGAACACATTAGGAAGTTATCAATTATTCTATGTCTTTATCTGTAAAATTGGAGATGGTATCTACCTCACTGAGCTGTTGGAAAGATTAAATGTAATTTTCGAAGCACATTTAAGTAGACTGCTAGGCAAACGATGCTTACTGTTTTGATGGTCAGTTTTTACACTCACACATACGTACTGTCCAAAAAGTGAAATCTCTGTTTTATAGACTTGAGTCTTGATCAAAGACTGAAAGAGTAGTGAAGCCACATCTTTGCCTATGTCACACATGATGATAATGTTTACCCCAATACCTTTTACTGGTACTTGGTCCCTTAAGTGCTTCTAAAAGTAAAACTGATGGGAAATTTTTTATATCCGTTAAATTAGCAAAGATCAAAGAGTTGATAATACACAGTGTTGTGAGGGTATAGGAAAACGGTACTCTCACACGTTGTGTAAATTATCCTAACCCTTTTGGAGGACATTTTGGCAATACCTTAAAAATGTTTAAGCCGACTAATCTTTGACTTAGAAATTTCATTTCTGAGAGTTTTTAATATATATATATATATATATATATATATATATATATATATATTTACTTTCAGCTATGCAAAAAAGACTTTTATACAGAGACCAGTTCATTGCAGTTTTGTTTATAGTAGACAAAGATGTGAAACAAGATAATGTCCATTAAGTAGGGTGGATAAATAAATCATGATGCATGCATAAAATGAGTGGACTACTGTATGTTTCAGAATGGGCATGACTGATGTATATGTGTATATTGGTGTGGGTCAGTCTCCATGATATAACACTAAGCAAGAAGCAGCAAGATACAGAACACTATGTATTATATGCCTAAAATAGCTCCGAAAAGATGTAAACACGAAATTGAGGGTTGCTCTTGTCTTGGAAAAGAGGAATGTCAAGATTGCAGGATGACTTTTATTGTTCTATAATTTCCCTTCTAAAATTTTTCAATAAAAAAAGTGGTGGGAGAGCATAGACTGAATAAACTGAATACAGTTGAAGGTTTGTATAGATACTTTCTGGTTAGGAAGGAGAATGCCCTTCTGGTCTTCCTGGGTACCAGCCTGCATTCCTCTGTGTCATGTCCTTCCTCAGGTATTTGAGTACAGCATCCCAGACAAACACTATACAGATTGGAGCCGGACTGTCCAGAAGCACGGCTTTCACCACCTTTGGCTCCAAAGGGATACTCCTATCACACATATCAGTTTTCATCCGAAGAGACCGATGCACATCCTTCTCCATGATGCCTACATGTTCTGCATCATTGACAAGTCATTGGTGAGTTCTTCCCTGCTACCTCACCAAATCTTCTTCTGAAACTTCACATTCTAAAAGCAACAAGTACAGTAAAATAGAGGAAGGAGAATCGGAATAACGGTAGCTAGTACATTCCTTGGAGGAGAGGGGGTTTTGTTTTACAGACTACCTGATTTGTGTTCCCACAGTTCTTCGGGAGGATCTCAGGGATGGGGCTGGCCTTTGTATACTGGCTTTTGCTGATTTGACTATTTCTCTGCTTTGCCAATGAACACATAAATCTTACATACAAAAGTGATTAGGTCAGTATTGAGAAGGTGACCTTCATCAGGAAGTTTCATTGATTTGGCTCTTTGGACTTTGAACCCTGGGGTGTCTGAATAACATGGTTTCTAAAGGAGGTAACATGCTGAGGTTTTGACCCCTATGCCCCTTGGCTGAAGATACTGAAATACTGTCTGCAGGCTTGAAGAACTGGTCTTAACATCTCCAAAAAACCCAGCTAGGAAAAATCTTCATGGCTGTGATGTAGATGGGATAGGAGCATTTTCTTCAGTTTTAGATTCCAGCCTCTTTGCCAGCTGCTGTTTTGATTCACCCTGAATTTATATGTCTTTCCTGGGCAGGTGCTTTGTTTCCTAGGAGCATTGTGGCCATGCCTGTCCTGCACTTTGGGCTTAGATTACAACCATCACATGGTGTTTTGGTGTGTCTGTGAAGGTGGGGGTGGAAGGAACATGAGGGAAAGCAGCAGATGGCTCTAAAGGAGGTGTGCACAGGGATGTGTCATTGGAATCATCTCATGGGCCCTGCGACCTCTGGGTGTGGGAAGCAGAGCTGGCTGACAAGTGCCTTGTGCAAGATGAGTGATACAGGAAGGGGCCCCTCCCACTCTCTTGTGTCTTTGTAACTGAGCTCAGATCATTTTTTTCCCAAGCATTGGTTTTAAGTTCATTGCTTCCGTATACTGGGCATAGCTATTTCTCAAGGAAGTCAGAGACAAAATATCATTTGTTTGGCCAGAGGCCACCTCGAGGTGTCAGTGACATCAGCAGGGGTGGTTTGTGTTGAGGTTCCGCCTGGGGAGAACTTCAGTCACTTGTCCAGTCTGTGATCTGGTTGGGGGAGAGTCTAGAAAGCACAGAGCCTGCGTGGGCTGAGCTCCGGCACTTGCCAGTTTGTTTCTTTCTGACAAAGTGTTACTGATGAGACAGGCTAGAAGCCCCAGTAGGGCCCTTTGATCTTGCTGCATGGAGTAACAAGCTCTCTTTGCCTCATATTCCCACCTTCTGCCTTGCGGCTGCAAGAGTAGCTTCAGCTCTTCCCTCTCTCTCCTTTTCTTCTTCTCTCACCCCACTGCCCCGTTTTTCTGAATAGCGGTATAATCAGTTCAGTTGTTTTCCTGAATTAATGAATGTCAGGGTGGTACTCAATATATATGATAGTTAGAAGATGATGTTGGGCTGAAAATGCAGTACAGTCCTTTGGTCTGTAGAAGCACAATAAAAGTAACCATTTAAACAATATATATCTTTGTCTTTTTAGCCCCTTCCAAATGACAAAACCTTACTCTACAATCCGTTTCCTCCCACGAATGAATCAGATGTCCAGAGGCGCACAGCTCATGCTTTTAAAATTTCTAAGATATATAAGGTAAAACATGTTGTGGTGTTATTCTAGATAGCTGGTTCCTTTGTGATACTGAAATGTAATAAAATCCCCAAAGGGAAGATAAGAGCACCTTCATTTTCCATGCAGAGAACCTGGTTTGTGGGAGACAAGTGACCTTTCTGAGGTCACTGCCTATCCCTTGTATATGTTTTATTGTTCTTGCTTTAGTAGGTTAGAGGCAGGCACATCATACTTAACCAAAATGAAATGCATGGTTAGTGAGAAATGTTGACGCTGAGGTAGCGTTTTTGTTGGCGTGAAAGTTGGCTTTAAATTTTACTTCTTATGGGAGTGTTCCATAGGATAGATATCAAGCAGGCTGGGCTTGGTAGCGCACACCTGTAATCCTAGCACTTTGGGAGGCCAAGGCAGGTGGATCTCCTTAGCCCAGAAGTTCAAGACCAGCCTTGGCACCATGGCAAAACCCCATCACTATTAAAAGAAAAGAAAGAAAGGTGAGGTAGGTGGATCGTGAGGTCAGGAGTTCAAGACCAGCCTGGCCAAGATGGTGAAACCCATCTCTACTAAAAATACAAAAAATTAGCCAGGTGTGATGGTATGCACCTATAATCCCAGCTACTTGGGAGGCTGATGCAGAGAATTGCTTAAACCCAGGAGGCAGAGGTTGCAGTGAGCTGAGACCACGCCACTGTACTCCAGCTTGGGTGACAGAGCAAGACTCTGTCTCAAAAAAAAAAAAGAGGAGAGGTCTGTAAATTATTCAGATGTGATTAGCTTCTTGATGCATTTGTAACTTTCCAGTTGTCAGTTGCCTTAGGCTGGGTATGGTGATTCACAGCGGTAATCCCAGCACTTTAGCAGGCTGAGGCTGGAGTTCAAGACCAGTCTGGGCAACATAGTGAGACCTAGTCTCTACAAAAAAAAATACAAAAATTAGCTGGCCTGTGCTACTCAAGAGGCTGAGATGAGATGGATGATGGCTTGAACTCAGGAGTTCAAGACTGCAGTATGATTGTACCACTGTACTCAGCCTGGTCGACATCGAGATTCTGTCTTTAAAAAAAAAGAATTGCCGGGCATGGTGGCTCACACCTGTAATTCCAGCACTTTGGGAGACTGAGGCAGGCAGATCACCTTAGGTCGGGAGTTCAAGACCAGCCTGACTAACATGGAGAAACCCCATCTCTACTAAAAATACAAAATTATCTGGGTGTGGTGGCACATGCCTGTAATCCCAGCTACTTGGGAGGCTGAGACAGGAGAATCACTTGAACCCAGGAGGTGGAGGTTGCAGTGAGCCAAGGTTTCGCCATTGCACTCTAGCTGCTTAAAATTGATTCCTGAGATACAAGGGAATCGTAGATTTTCTGTCCAGAGAAATGTAAAAAATCCTGCTGAGACCTTTTATTAGTGAACCCAATTAAAAACTCCCAATCTTGAGCAGGTTGCAACGATGCATACCTACCTATTATCCCAGCTACTTAGGAGACTGAGGCAGGATGACTGCCCAGGAGTTCAGGGCTTCAGTGCACGCTGATCATGTCTGTGAATGGCCACTGCTCTCCAGCCTGGACAACATAGTAAGACCCCCCATCTCTAAAAAATAAAAGAAAAGGCTTTCATGCATTCCAACTGTTTTGAGTCCTATAGCAGGAAAAACTGTCAAGAGATTAAATCATTTGAGCCTGGAACTAGACTAACCTTTTAATTTAGACAGCGTTTAACTACAGTTAGTTTGTTCAAGACTGGCCCCGGATCCTAAGTCCTGATAGAATCATTATCATCCCTCTGCAGCCTCTACTCTTCATGGATCTTTTGGATGAAAGAACACTCGTGGCAGTAGAACGGCCTCTGGATGACATCATTGCTCAGCTCCCACCACCCATCAAAAAGAAGAAATTCGGAACCTAAACAGGGCACTCTCTGTGTCCTTCCTTGAACTGTCTACCCTGTTGCTTTTCACAAATCATGATAATAAAACAAAATTATTCTTGAGGACTAGTCATTACAAATGTTTTCTTCCAGAATAATGGATAGTCATTTCCCTTCATTGAATGAAAGTGAACGGAAACTCCAAACAAGGTGTCTATTTGGGAGAACGTGGTGAGTAGCTACAAACTCAGCTAATGTTGATAGAGTCCTGCTCATTCTGTAGGCTGCAGTATCAGAAGATATTTGGGCTCTGTTCTCTATTACATGTCTAAGACTTCAGAGGGCCAATGGCCTTCACTGCCTGCCAGCCTCCAGCCTATGCAGCAGCGCAGAAATCTGCCCAGGATGGCTCTGGAGGGCAGGGGACTATAATTACTTACTCAGCATAGCCTGACCACTAATAACCATAATCAGCTTTAATGTTCAAGGAAGAATTTCAACTATAGCATTATAAGAGAGTGCTCCATCTAAAAATTAGATGCCTTTGACCTTTGGCAGTCAGTGATTAATTTTATGTAAAAGGCAAAAAAGCTTGGGTTATCAGTCCCGTTCACTGTCTTTTTATCGGTTATAGGCTGGTTTCAAAAGGTATGGAAGGGCCAGGCACTGTGGCTCATGCGTGTAATCCCTGCACTTTGGGAGGCTGAGGTGGGAGCATCACTTGAGTCCAGAGACCAACCTGGGCAACATAGGGAGACCCTATCTCTAAAAAAAGATATAGAAACTGGGCACACATCAGTAGTCCCAGCTACCCGGGAGGCTTACTGGAGCCCAGGAGATTGAGACTATAGTGTCATATGATCACACCTGTAGATAGCCA